TGAGTGTGTGTGTGTGTCGAACATATTAGTCTTGTAATAATAAAATTTTATTATACATCTAGACATATTACATTTAGTGTAATACATTACTTTATTATAGTAGGCATAACTATGTAATAAAAATTTTAGATATACGACAATCAGCATAAAAATTAAATATAGCAATTTTTTTTCCAACATTAAATAAAATGATGATTCATTTAATAATATCGAAAGAAAACATCTTATCAACAGGGCATTGGGTAAAGTTTGAGATACCTCACAGGGCTACTTAAAAATAATTTTTAAGAAATTATAAAAAAATGTATTATTTTTTATTTGAATGTCGAAGGTTGCCATTATTTGTTGTCCCGTTCAAACAATCTTCACAGGTCTGAAACAGACGTAGACATAGAGCCGTCAACAGGTCAATTTCAATTTTGAAATAATGTAATCCCATTTTTGTAGGATCAATTTGAACAACGGGCTTATCTGACTTCCAGTATTAACAATTTTCGCGGTTAATATACATTTTGAAATTTTGGGAAAAATTTTCGGCCAATTGGCCCATAATTTTGATCTGTATAGCGAATAATAATGGACTGACGAGATTTGATATTACAAACTGTTAATCCTATCCCATTTTAAAATCTATAATTCTATACGTTTACCAATTGATATTGATCCAAATTTTGTGCACGCGTATACAAAATTTTATCATATTATTTATTTTATAGCCCATATTTATACCCTACAACACTATGTGGGGTATTATAAGTTTGATTGGGCCAAAAATTATGTAAAACCTCGAAATATTGATTTCCCACATACGAAAGTATATATGGATCTTCCTATCTCGCCGAGCTGAGTCGATCTAGCTATGTATGTCCGTCCGTCCGTCCGTCTGTTCGTCTGTCCATGTTAATTTGTAAAAACTCTACAGGTCGCAATAGAACCCTATTTCTTTTAGAGAGGATCGCATAATATTCACGGGTTGAAATAGACCAAAAACTGAAAAATTTCCTGATGTTGCACTTGCTCTATAGGTCACAATTATAGACCAATCGAAGCGAAAGTTAGCATGGGGCCAGAGCTTTAGGCTGGGCAGCTGGGCCTTCCAATTTTGATGGTCGTCGGGTAATATTTAGTGGTTGAAATAGACCATAGCATTTGTGATAAATAAAAGTCAAATTTTTCATTAAACCGCGAATAGTTTCAATGCCGGCGAAATCACAAATAGATGAACAGGTCAATGCCGATAGTAAAAATATCGGATATATATATAGCAAAATATATATAATGTATATATACAAAGGAAATGGGTTGTTAGCTAGAGTTTATCGCATGCGATTTTTTCAATTCGACTTATAATATTGAAGTGAATATTTTGTAATTTTTTTGCACTTTACAACACAGGTTGGGGTTCCATATTCGACGGACCCATGACTCTTTGTGCCCATTCCAATAGACGAGACTTGTCCGCAGGCAACATTCTTTGCGTCAATTGAATTTTGTATGGGAACAAATGCAAATCAATGCGAATAATCCGTTGTAAAGTGGACCGAGCCATGCCCAACAGCTGAGAACAGCGTTTTTGGGATGTTCTTGGGGACCTCTCAACACTGGCTCGTACGGCAGCGATATTCTCGGCCGATTGCCTTGGTCGACTTTTATATGGCCTCTTCGGATTAGAAAGAGCCTTACCAGTCGAAAGATTTTCGTATAAACGCTTACTGGTGTTCTTAGAAGGCGCACTTCTCACACTTTTTAATGTTTTAAAAGCACGTTGAGTTTTCACAATTGACTTCTTCTGTTGAGTGTAAATTTCAACTATTTCAGAGCGCTCGCGTGGCGTGTATTGGTTCATGGTAAAAATCTGCTTGGTCTGACGCTTCAACCGCGGTATGTCATAAAGCGATGTGACATCTCTGTCAATAGTTATGGCGTTGCCAGTTGGGTCCGTCGAATATGGGCAACCCTGTACATACCAAAGAGATCCCAACGTAGATTTCCTATCTTCTGTGGTCTCGTCTGAGCGTTGTTGTGTACGTCGAGCCTCATTTAAGCTCATCCCATGAATATTTAAGGGAAGAGCACGGTTTCTGTTTTGTACTGAGACCATTAAAGATCTGGTACCAACAAAATACAATGAAATCGCGGCTCATAAGGATATACGTCTTTTCTAAATTCAAATTAAGTTTTAAATAAGTGGTCTTGTTTCGCGATTAAATAAAAGGAAAGTGATTAATTGTCCACATCTTTTGTTTAACAAACTACAACAATTTAATGTAATGAACTGTAAAACCACTTGTCTGAATTATTGTCCCGCTTATAATGAGTATATTGCATTTTCAAACGAATTTGTTTTTGGTGTAATTTGACTTAATTATTTGCCTGATTAGGCAAATACAAAATATGTGTACACAAAACACACACACACACACATATGTTGGTTTAATAATATTATCATAATATTGACAATAATGACATTTTGTTTTATCACACAACGACATTTCAATAACTCATTATATTTTATTGGCTGAATGACAATAATCAAATGATGAAATACATTAAACTTTCTACCAAGGCCATATCCAATTGTTAATGACTTTGGGAAAGTATTTGTTTTGATTTGATTGTAATTATGATTTGATTTGAGACTGAAATGAATGACACTTAAAGTTAATGAGAATTATAACACATTTCATACGAGGTCAACATAGATTATGACAAAAGATTGTGGCGGGCCCAAAATTAATAGAATCGATAATTAGGAGGGTGAACATAATTACAGGATCATGGCAGGGGATGTGCAATTCCCAGTCAAAGACCCGTAAAGAAAGGTCAGGAGTTGGCCGGGACCGATTTTATGATACCCCAGACCACTATGCGTATTTAGTAGAGCTCACGTAAAAAAAAAATTAAATTGGGAATTTATGTGAAGTACAGCGTTGCCCATATTCGACGGACCCATCTGGCAACGCCACAACTTTTGACAGAGATGTCACATCGCTTAATGACATACCGCGTTTGAAGCGTTAGTCCAAGCAGATTTTTACCATGAACCACTACACGCCACGCGAGCGCTCTGAAATAGTTGAAATTTACATTCAACAGAAGAAGTCAATTGTGAAAACTCAACGTGCTTTTAAACCATTAAAGTGAGAAGTGCGCCTTCTAAGAACACCATTAAGCGTTTATACGAACAATTTTCGACTGGTAAGGCTCTTTCTAATCCGAAGAGGCCATATAAAAGTCGACCAAGGCGATCGGCCGAGAATATCGCTGCCGTACGAGCCAGTGTTGAGAGGTCCCCAAGAACATCCCAAAAACGCTGTTCTCAGCTGTTGGGCATGGCTCGGTCCACTTTACAACGGATTATTCGCATTGATTTGCATTTGTTCCCATACAAAATTCAATTGACGCAAAGAATGTTGCCTGCGGACAAGTCTCGTCTATTGGAATGGGCCCAAAGAGTCATCGAAATGACCGAATGGAACAAAATTATCATGTCCGGTGAAGCCCATTTCACATTGAATGGGACCGTAAATAAGCAAAATTGCCGTTTTTACGCCACTGAAAATCTTCAGGAGATTCAAGAAGTGCTTCTTCATGACGAAAAAGTCACAGTTTGGTGCGGCGTTAGTGCGAAAACGGTCATTGGGCCGTTTTTCTTCCAAAATGAAAATGGCCATGTTGTCACCATCAATCAGGTGCGTTATCGCGACATGATGACCAATTTTGTGATGCCAATTATTCGTCGAAAGCGTATGAGGCAGTTCTGGTTACAACAAGACGGCGCTCCACCGCACACAAGTCGCATAACAATGGATTTTCTGAAGAATTTGTTTCCGGGCCGTTTGATAGCGAAAAGTGGTGATTTGGACTGGCCACCGCGTTCGCCCGGTTTGACGCCGCCTGATTTTTTCTTCTTCTTCTTGTGGGGATATTTGAAGTCAAAAGTTCACGTTAACAAGCCAAGGACCGTAGAAGAGCACAAGGACAACATTCGTGAAGAAATATCCGCTATTCCGGCCGAAATGTTGTCAAAAACGATGGAAAATGCAGCAAAAAGGGCACAATACGTCATCAACGCCAGAGGCGGTCATTTGAGAGATATCATATTCAAAAATTGATGTAAACAAATCTACTACAAACATTGCCAACCGCCAAATTTTTATTTTTTTCTTTGATTTAAAAAAAAAACATGGGTCCGTCGAATATGAGCAACCCTGTATTTGTAGGATGAATTCAGTCCGACATGCCAAAATTCAGTCCATTTTTGGGCAATTGGTGCAAAATAAACCTGACATCGGATAAAGATATGTGTGAGTTATATCTAAATCTGATCCGATCTCGATAAAATTTCCCAAATGTATTTTTGAGCCTCATAAGTTATATCTTTGCAAATATCATTCTTGTTTAGTGCATATTACGCATATGAGGGACCTAAATCCTTAAATGGGATAAAATATATGTATGGGAGCTATAGCAATATCTGAAGCGATTTTCACTAAATTTAATGTACTTAATTCTAGACTGAATTCGGTCAGGTGTGCCAAAATTCAGGCCATTTGAACTGATATTGGCCATTTGGTGCATAATTAAACTGAAATCGGTTGAAGATATATATATGGGAGCTATATCTAATTTGAACCGATTCTTACCAATTTCAATAGGGTTCGTCCTTGGGCCAAACAAATATTGTTTGCAAAATTTCATCTCAATCGGATTATAAATGCGACCTGTATTTTGTTCACAACAATACATGGACGGACGGACTGACATGCATAAATCGACTCAGAATGTGATTTTACGAAGATCCTCAAAAGTAACTGTGGGTCTATCTGTGGTGGTATGTGGTGTAGGGTATAAAAAGGAAGGAATGTGGCGAATTGCGTTAACCTTAGGTGTAAAGACTCAAATGATGTATCCTCATTCTTTCGGCTTAATATTGTTTGGAACAGCAAAATAATCAGTCAATTTACCTCATAACGAAGAAATTATATTTACATACTTACCTAGATCAGAACTTTGCAATCAAGAGAAACGCTTGAATTCTTCCACTTTTCTTGTCTTTCTCCGGCAGCACCTTCCCGTCGTAACAGATCATTTATGGAACTAATACAAAAAACTGAAGAGGTTAACCAATTACGGACACGGATTTTCAGGTTATTTATATTTTCTAAGGTACATTGCTTCGCTTCTCTAAGGTATTCCTTTAATGGATCCTCTTATACGTAACACGAATAATAGAAAGCTTTCGATATTGAATTTCTAAATTCAAAATTAAATTAATTTTTAAGAAAATATATCAACTCATGTAATAAAGTTTTCAATGGCATCCTGCAATTTATGAAAAAAGTCAATTCAAAGTATGTTTCAATTAGGAAACCCACTTAAATCATTGACCCTTCAGAATATTATTTTTAGAATTTTATTATTAGGTTTTTAAAAAGTGAATAAAGTACCTAATTTAAAACAAGAAAAACTTTCTCATTTTCTTAATTTTTGGAAAAGTTACAGGGCATTCATTCTCCTTGTAATGTCAGTTGCTTTAGCTTTAGCCACCAGTGCATATATATATATATATATATATATATATATATATATATATATATATATATATATATATATATATATATATATATATATATAATATTAATATTAAGTGGAATCAAGCTCAATGGAAAAAACATTATTTCTGGGATGAGTCTACGTTTAATATTAAAAGCTCAGACGTGAAAAATGTTACGATGAGCAGACCAAAAATGAAAGACTCAAGCCGTAGTGTTGCAAAAGTACAGTGAAGCATGAACGAGCGTTAAAAATGGCGTGGCGCTGTTTTTCTTTCTATGGAGTTGGGCCTATCCATAAAATAAAGGAAGTTGTGGATCGGTTTGTTTACAAAGATGTGTTGGACATCACGTTGTTCCCTTACGATGAGTAAAATATTCGGCTCATTTGGGTGTTTCAGCATGACAATGATCCCAAACTTGTATCAAAACTTGTCAAGTATTGGTTGCGGGAGTCAAAACTTCATGTTTTGTTATGGCCGGCACAGTCACCTAACCTAAACTCCTTAGAAAACCGTTGGAGTATCGTAGATAGGAACATCAAGAGAGATTTGGAAATAAATAAGCACAACATTTTCTAAAGAATTCGGGGTGCCTGGGAAGGCACACCCAAGGATCAAATTGAGCGTGTTATAGATTCAATGCCTCGTAGGTGTGCAGCTGCTATCAAAAATAACGGTTATGCTATCGACTACTAGCCAAAATTTAATTATTTTAAAATAAAAAATCAAAAGTTACTTAGTTTTGACTAAGCAAAAATTGGGTCATTTTAGTTTTCCACATATTATTTTTCGTTCAAAATTATTTTTGTATTTTTATTTTTAGTTTCTTAAAAGTGAGTTAAAACCCTCATTTAAAACTGGAAAAATAATTACGATTTGTTTATTTTTGTAAAAGTTACAGGACATTTATTGTCTTTGCGATTTAAGTTGCTTTAGTTTTGGCCACCAGTGTATATATATCTTCTCTTTTGTGTAATTATTTGGCGATAAAATGTCTATACAATATTACGATTTCAATGGTCTCACACAGCTAATTAGTATTCAACAACGACTGAGTAGTGTGAGATACTGCTTTGATTTGAATGACAAAGAGAGGGATGGCGTATTTGCTTAAGAATTTACGGGGGGAAACCAATTCAGAGAAGAGAGAATAGAAAATGAAAACTCTTAAATGTAAATAATACGCATTGAAATGTACACCTAATACCACATAGCGATACGTAAACATGACAGCTAGAGGCATTTAAAGATTTGCCTTGAATATTTTAGTTCATTTAATTCATTTTCAAAAATAATATATTAGATTGAGATTTAAATTAATTTTATAAACCACAAATGGTCTTTGTAATATTTAACTGAGATTAGGAGTAACATTTTTAATTTGATTTAATTTTATTAGGTAACTATTAAAGTTTGCTTTATGTAATATTATTTTTATACCCTACAACACTTTGTGGTGGGGGTTTTGTAAGTTTGATTGGGCCAAAAATTATGTAGCACCTCGAAATATTGATTTCCCACATAGGAAAGTATATATGGATCTTCCTATCTCGCCGAGCTGAGTCGATCTAGCTATGTATGTCCGTCCGTCCGTCTGTCAGTCTGTCCATGTTAATTTGTAATCACTCTACAGGTCGCAATTATGGCCCGATCTTCACGAAATTTAGAATGTAGGTGGGGCTAGGGCCAGAATAGGACCTTGCTGCTTTTGGAGGTGATCGCATAATTCTTAAGGGTTGAAATGGACCAAAAACTGAAAAATTTCCTGATTTTGCACTATATCTACAGGTCGCAGTTATAGACTAATCGACGCGGAAGTTAGCACGGGGCTAGAGCTTAGGGCTGGGCAGAAGCCTTCCAATTTTGATGGTCATCGGATTATATTTAGTGGATGAAGTAGGCCACAAGATTTGTGTTAAATAAAAGTCAAGTTATCCATTAAACTGCGAATATTTTTAATCCCGACAAAATCACAAATCGATTCCGATAGTAAATATATCGGATATATATAGCGAAATGTGTACAATGTGTATATACAAAGGAAGGGGATGTTAGCTAGAATGCTTATATCTCAAGAATGGCTGGACCGATTTTGACAAATTGTGTCAACTTAGAATGTCCTCTAAAAGTATAAAATCTAAAAATATTGCATAAAAAGATGCCGTTTTGACGCATAATATTGAAGTGTATATTTTGTAAATTTTTTCACCTTACAACACAGCTTGGGGTTATTATATTCATATTACAATTATCGTCCGATCCTCATGAACATTTTCATAGGGGTAGTGTTAGGCTTAGAAGGGCTGGGCCAATTCTTTTTAAATATGTCTGCAATATATTTAAGGGTTGAAATGGACCAACAACTAAAAATTTTCCTGATTTTGCATCCGTTATAAAGGTCATAAATAGAAATTAAAGGACACGAAATCTCGCACGAAGTTAGAGTTTAGGGCAGTGGGTAGAATGGACCACTATTTCTGTCTGAAAAATACCAACATTACTTACAGGCGATATCCGAAATACACAAGAGGCGAACTTCTGGCTTTTTATGCCGATTTCGTTGACGAATATAGCCAAATATCGTAGACAGGAAAATCGTATAAATAAGTCTAAATTTGGTGATACAGATTGGCCTACTGCTTTTGGAGATGATCGCAAAATATTAGGAGTTCACATGAACCAAAAACAGAAAAAAATCCTGATCACACAATTGAAGCCATTCGACACGAATGAGAGGAACGTTAAGGACAGGGAAGAATTCTAGCATTTTGGATGACCATTGAATTATATTTAGCTGTAAAATGGACCACAACAACTAACAGCACGATGGAGTGCATAAATATTGGGCAAATATCCCTGGTCAGAATGCTGAGGATAATATCTGAGCTGTGCACCGCGAAATCTTCCAAAATGGATTTGGACATAAGGAGGCTTCTAACATATTGTAGTGTTGTAGGGTATCACATGGTCGGTCCCGCACGACTATAGCCTTTGCTTACGTGTTTTATTATGTTATATGGAAATATCTGTATTATATATTTTGTTCCCTCAAAAAAACTCCTCTAATTTTAGCCTTTGTTTTATAAGACATTTTTTTTTTATTTATCTGATGGACATTTATTATTGTCTTAAATTACCATAACGGGGAAATTTGATTTCATTCCTTTTTTCACAGCTTGCATTAATTAATACACCAACATCGTAGTTTCCTGTTTGTGCGTGATGTTGATTTTTTTTTTGTTCTGGGCATTCTTCTCCATTTATCCGGAGCTATCCAATGTAGTAGTTTCATTAAATCAGAAATCCGGAAAAATGCCCGAAAAAATCCCCAGTTGTGAAGAAAATAGCAACCGAATCCATCCATAGCAGTTTACGGAAATGCATTATTGTTGGTTGGTTGGTTGGCTGCTCGATTTGTTCGCTGCACGGATGAAGGTTGCACCACCAGCACCACCACTAGCCAGCAATCAATGCAAGCCAATCCCTTTTTATTATCCAGGATACCAACAAACGGAAAATCACTTCTTTATTCGATTTTGTGCTGTGTTGGTGTGTGTGCCTGTGTGTGTGTGCTGATGATGTTTTGACTTTATTTTATTTCATTTTAGTTTATTTTTTGTGAGGGTGGCAGTTGTTGTATGCAAAAACTATATGCATAAATCATTTTAGTATTGTTTATACAAAATACATATAAATTTATTGTTATTTTGCTTATGTTAAAAAAAAAACAAATCATGAATTCCTATAATTTTTGTATACGATCTTTGATTATAGTTTTTAGTCATTGCAATGTGACAATATATATATACATACTTAGCCATAGCTAGGGGTTGTTATCGAAGGGAAACTTAAGGGATCAGGGACGTACATAGAAATGGTAGTCAGAACAATTCTGGAGGCAATTGAAAATGTTAAATTAAGGTCTAAGTTTTATATATAGGGCGAAGAACGCCTATCTTGAAGGAAAATATTTAAAGAAAATATACGTCGAACTGGTCGGTATAATACTACTATAATACAAGCCGAAGAGTATAATCGAGAAAAATATTGGTATATGTGTCTATGTATTGAAATGTCTCCCAATAACGTTATCTATCAATTATTAATATTTCAACGTGTTAATAACAGTACATGTACAGGGTTGCCCATATTCGACGGACCCATCTGGCAACGCCATAACTTGACAGAGATGTCACATCGCTTAATGACATACCGCGTTTGAAGCGTTAGTCCAAGCAGATTTTTACCATGAACCAATACACGCCACGCGAGCACTCTGAAATAGTTGAAATTTACATTCAACAGAAGAAGTCAATTGTGAAAAATCAACGTGCTTTTAAAACATTAAAAAATGTGAGAAGTGTGCCTTCTAAGAACACCATTAAGCGTTTATACGAAAAATTTTGGACTGGTAAGGCTCTTTCTAATCCAAAGAGGCCATATAAAAGTCGACCAAGGCGATCGGCCGAGAATATCGCTGCCGTACGAGCCAGTGTTGAGAGGTCCCCAAGAACATCCCAAAAACGCCGTTCTCAGCAGTTGGGCATGGCTCGGTCCACTTTACAACGGATTATT